CTCATCGTCAACTTCTTCAACTACATCATCAACAACATCGTCGACCACGTCATCACACACATCGTCCACCTCGTGCATAATCTCGCCCTCTATGACGGAGAACACTTGGGTGGTGCTCGAGGTGGTGAGTGACAGCGGGCTCGTCACATGTTGTTTGCGCGAGAGGACAATTTTGTCACTATCATCGGGAGATTTCCGTTTGAGAACTTCCGACGGGCTTCCTACGTTCAGTGGGGACATGGCCATTATGGAGAAGGTTAGTCACACAATCTGCACACTAACAGATATTCTCATTCAGTAGTTTTTGAAGGCTTGAGAATACGCAACCGAGGTAAACAGGTATTAAATTAGCAAATTTCAAACGACTGTTTAAGTGTGAACTCGAGTCGACTGATTGATTACGTATGTTCTTACTCTGCACGTCGGCTTTGCTTTGTCCCTAACCTTGGAGATCCTCACGTTGTCCTGTTGCACTATTTGGCGGCTGTTTGTTTGGCTGAACAGAGATCTTCACACGAATGCTAGCACCACAGTATCACATGCACGACACAACAACACTAAGAGGCGTCACATATCCCTCGTTGAGCAAAAATGTGAAAATTCGCGAGTCTTGGCGAGGAGCTAGGACAGTGGGTGGCGTCTACTTAGCCTGAGGGAATGCGACTGCCAGACTTAGGAGTCTTATGCTTGAGTGACGCCAAGAGAGGAGAAGGAGGAGGAGGGGGAGCAGGTAGAGCGGGGGAACTGCTCACCTGCCATTATCTACCTGAAGGGACGAGATGCCCACATGCCCAGACCATCTCTGTATTCAGTCAGAGTAACTGGCAATTTCACAAGCAAATTTGTGTCTTAGTTATACCGAATGGAAGGATCACGCTTGGGATGAAAGTGGCTGAAATTTTATAAAAATATACGAAATGATTGGAGAGTGTTGAGTCCCCCCGGCCCACCTGTAGCCAGAACAGGTGCCAGGTATCGCAATATACAATCAGATTTTATAGATGAATTCTGTAATGTTTACCTCTTGTAACCCAAACTTTAACGAAGAGATTCAACAATGGGTGATCATTGTTCGGTATCACAGTGTTGTGAAATAGTTTCAAATTGTATAAAGAGAAATAACGGATATTTGCGTCGTCGCTCGGGTGATTAATGAAGAGCTTTCCCCCCAGAGCTATTTGTTTACATCACTTGTATGTCGCATTCGCTATAGAAATTCTTCTACAGGATGTGGATGTACGTAACATAACTACCAGGGTCTAACTAGTTCTTCGGCGTGATAAACGATTGAGGGAAAAGGTGTGTGGTGGTGATCCCTGGCAACTGCCAGTACCCCCATCTGGCTAGCTCAGCTCCGCCCGTCGCGTTTCTTCCATCTCATTGTAATTCTGACCAACGTCTAGACTGACCTGGGCGGTAAGCTTTTTAGTCTGCGCTCTTTTCGCCTGCTTCTCCCCCACTTCTATCGGCAAGCTCAACATTCTCTTATACTGAAAGATGGTTATTGAGAAAGAGCATTTTGGAGCTGCAGGGCTCGAAGGCGCCGGAGTGCGTGGGCTGGGGTCAGGTGTCCCATGTCCCAGGACGTGCTCGGCGTGTACCGCTGTAGGGCATGTGTAGTAAACAATCATTCTAGGCTCGAACAAATCTTTCATTCAAATTCCAATGCTGCATAGCGTTTTTACATGCATACTCATGATGTACACAGTAGTCTGGATGTGTTATACTGACTACATTCAAGCACACTGTTCGATAATCTCTCAGATGTCCCGAGGCGGAGGCAGGGCTGCGAGAAACATGGCAACACAGGCTAATGCCTGAGGCGAGACGTGGCAACAGTGGCGCGCGGTTTGCCCGATGGCGGGTTTTACCTTGAAGCTGTGCTGGGCCTTGCGAATGCGTTCGTACACTTTACAATTGTTTCGTGCAGTTTGTGCAAAGCAATATTTCGAGCTTATCTCTTAAATTCAGGGTAATGCGGAAGCACTCATTTCTAGCTAAGGATGAACTTGACGCTGGATAACTATTTTGTGTGCGTTAAAGTCCCCAACTTTTCATTGCCGTCCACAACCCAAGAGCGAAAACTTTCGTTATGTTCCAGTCATTATGGGAATCATGCCCCTGGTCGTAAACACGACTGGAAGGTACCACAGGGCTTTTGTGGCGGGGCCTTGAAGGAAAATGGATGGCAGGTACCGAAGGACGGAGAAGAGATGCGAGAGATAAAAGGGGAATAACGAGAAACGCGTCAATTAATAATGAATATTCTGCGGACAAGGCTGTGCCCTCTTGCTAGAACACTCTTCTCCGGAAGCAGTGTGTTCTCTCGATCCAGACGTTAGTAATAGACGCATGAACCTGTGGCAATAAAGCTTCTCTACAGATAAAGAGCAGATCAAGTATTACTTTGAAACTACAAGACCCACAACAACAACCACAGAATACAACAGCACTAATATCGCTAATATCGGTCATGATCAAGTTTATAACAACTCCATGACCAAGCAGTCTTAAGGTAGGATGAAGTAAGGTGGGGATGTAGGGGGGGAGTGATCTGAGTGACCGTGGGGGCGGGCAGCAGGGAATGGGGGATAGGGGGGATGTAGTCCCGCATTCCGCTCTTTCCTGCTGTCGAGAAAAGGATTATTCGGCGCGATTGGCAGATTGCTCAATGAATAAAACAAAACACCTCAATGTTTGTAGATCTCTTTACATCTTCTGTAGTGACAACAACCCCGATTCACTATACAATATAAATTTCTAACACTTAATCATTCACCCCCCCATCTCTCTCTATCCCCCTCCCCTCCTCTTTCTCTCTCTCTCCCCCTCCCTCTCTCTCTCTCTCTCTCCTCTCTCTCTCCTCTCTCTCTCTCTCTCTCTCTTCTTCTCCTCGTCTCAGCTCGTCCTCTCTCTCTCTCTCCTCCCCTCTCTCTCTCCTCTCTCTCTCTCCCTCTCTCTCCCCCTCTCGTCTCTCTCTCTCTCTCTTCTCCTCTCCCCTCTCTCTCTCTCTCCCCCTCTCTATCTCTCTCTCTCTCTCTCCTCCCCCCTCCTCTCTCTCTCTCTCTCTATCCCCGCTCCCCTCCTCTCTATTCCCCCCATCCCCTCCTCTCGCTCTATCATTCCCCCTCGATCCCCCCTCCCCTCCTCTTCTCTCTATCCCCCTCCCTCCTATCTCTCTATCCCCCCTCCCCTCCTCTCGCTCTCTCTCTATCCCTCTCTCTTCTCTCTATCCCCCCCTCTCTCTCTCTCTCTTCTCTCCTTCTCTTCTCATTCTCCTTCTCCTCTCTCTCTCTCTCTCTCTCGCTTCGCTCCTCCCCTCCTCTCTCTCTCTCTCTCGCTCTCTCTCCTCTCTCTCTCATCGCTCTCCTCGCTCTCTTCTCCTCTACTCTCTTCTCCCTCTCGCTCTCTCTCCTCTCTCTCTTCTCCCTCTCGCTCTCTCTCCTCTCTCTCTTCTCCCTCTCGCTCTCTCTCCTCTCTCTCTTCTTCCTCTCGACTCGCTCTCTCTCCCTCTCTCTCTCTCCCTCTCGCTCTCTCTTCCTCTCTCTCTTCGTTTCTCTCTCGCTCTCTCTCCCTCTCTTCTCCTCTCTCTCTCTCTCTCGCTCTCTCTCCTCTCTCTCTCTCCTTTCGCCTCTCTCCTCTCTTCTATCTCTTTCGATCTCTCTCCTCTCTCTCTCCTTCTCCCTCTCTCCCTCTCTCTCTCCTCTCTCCTCTCTCCTCTCGTCTCTCCTCTCTCGTCTCTCCTCTCTTCTCTCTCTCCTCTCTCGCTCTCTTCCCCTATCTCTCCTTCCTCTCTCTCTTCTCTCCCCTCCTCTCTCTCTCTCTTCTTCTCCCTCTCCTCTCTCCTCTCTCGCTCTCTCACTCTTCCTCCTCTCTCTCCTCTCTCCCTCTCCTCGCTCTCATCTCCTCTCTCTCGCTCTCTCTTCTCTCTTCTCTCTTTCTCTCCTTCCAGCTCTCTCTTCTCTCTTTCTCTCTCTCCTCCCCCCCCCCCTCTCTCTCTCTCTCTCTCTCTCTCTCTGCCTTACTCCCTCTCTCTCTCTCTCATCTCTCCTCTCTCTCTCTCTCTCTCTGTCTCTCTCTCCTCTCTCTCTCTTCCTCTCTCCTCTCTCTCTCTCTCTCCTCTCGTCTATCTCTCTCTCTCTCTCTCTCTCCTCTTCCTCTCATCTCTCTCCTCCCTCTCTCTCTCTCTCTCTCCTCCTCTACTCTCTCTCTTCTCTCTCTCTCCTCTCTCTCTCTCTCTCTCTCTCTCTCCTCTCTCTCTCTCACTCCCCTCTCTCTCTCTCTTCCTCTCTCTCTCCGTCCTCTCTCTCTTCTCCTCTCTCTCTCCCGTCCTCTCTCTCTCATCCTCTCTCTCTCTCCCCCCCTCTCCCTCTCTCTCTCCTCTCTCTCTCTCCTCTCTTCTCCTCCTCTCCTCGCTCTCTCTCCTCCCTCTCTCTCTCTCCTCTCTCTCTCCTCCTCTCGTCTCTCTCCCGCTCTCTCTCTCTCTCTCTCTTTCTCCTCTCTCTCTCCTCTTTCTCTCTCTCTCTCTCATTCCTCTCCGTCTCTCTTGGTCCTCTCTCTCTTTCTCTCGTCTCTCCTCTCTCTTCTCTCTCTCTCTCTTCATCTCTCTTTCCTCTCTCTCTCTCTTCTCAACTCTTTCCCTCCTCTCTCTCTCTCCATCTCTCTCGCTCCTCTCTCTCTCTCTCTCTCTCTCTCTCTCTCTCTCTCTCTTCTCTATCTCTCTCTTTCTCTCCTCTCTCTCTCTCTCTCTCTCTCTCTCCCTCCTCATCTCCTCTCTTCTCCCTCTCTCGTCTCTCTCTCTCTCCTCTTCTCTCTCTCTCTCTCCTCTCCTCTCCTCTCTCTCTCCTCTCTCTCCTCTCTCTCTCTCTCTCTCCTCTCTCCTCTCTCTCTCTCTCTCTCCCTCTCTCTCTCCCCTCGTCCATCCTCTCCTCTCTCTCTCTCCGCTCTCCTCTCTCTCCCTTCCTCCTCTCTCTCTCTCTCTCTCTCTCTCTCTCTCTCTCTCCTTCCCCTCTCTCGTTCTCTCTCTCTCTCCTCGTCTCTCTCTCTCTCATCTCTCTCCTCCTCCTCTCCGCTACTCTTCTCTCTCTCTCTCCTCCTCATCCTCTCTCTCTCTCATCTCTCTCTTCTCTCTCTCTCTCTCACTCTTCCTCTCTCTCTCCTCTCTCTCGTCCTCTCTCTCTCTCTCCCTCTCTCTCTCCTCTCTCTCTCTCCTCTCTCTCTCTCTCTCTCCTCCTCTCTCTCTCTCTCTTCTCCTCCTCTCTCTCTCTCTCTTCTCCTCCTCTCCTCTCTCCTTCTCCTCTCCTCTCTCTCTCATCCTCTCTCATCCTCTCTCTCCCTCTCACTCTCCTCTCTCTCTCCCGTCCTCTCTCCTCATCTCCTCTCCTCATCTCTCTCTCTCATCCTCTCGTCTCTCTCCTCTCTCTCTCTCTCCTCGTCTCCTCTCTCTCTCTCTCTGCTCTCTCTCTCTCTATCCCTCCTCTCCTCTCTCTCTCGCTCTCTCTCCTCTCCCCATTCTCTCTATCTCTCCTCTCTCTCCGTCTCTCTTCTCTCTCTCTCCTCGTCTCTCTCTCTCTCTCTCTCTCTCTCCTCTCTCATTCTCTCTCTCTCTCTCATCCTCTCTCTCTCTCTCTCTCTCTCTCTCCTCTAGTCTCTCTCCTCTCTCTCCTCTCTCTCTCTCTCTCTCTCTCCTCTCTCTCTCCTCTCTTCTCTCTCCTCTCTCCTCTCTCTCCTCTCTATCCT